TAAGACAGAGCTATCACATAGCACACTATTCAGTCAGATTCTTCAATTGTCTGAATATCACTATTAAAAACGTTTATAAAATACTGTCTTCTAAGAGTCAGTTATCACATTTTTTAAACAATAGTGAGGATGTCATCTTTTGGGAATTCTACTCCCTTCACAATTATTTTTCTCCTGAGTTTCTTCTTCCTACAAAGCATCAGTGGGTGTTGTCTTAGCATGCTCCCTAAAGATTTATACATCTCAGAGCTCAAACTGTTGCACGTTATTTGAGATCGAAGTTTGATAGACTTGTTAAAGTAGACTCATCAGTATATGCCTCTTCCTAGCTCAATTCGGAAGGGGATCAGATTTGATTTGGGTCTAATGAGATGAAAAATAAGAAAAAGAAGGGAGTCGGGGGGAACCTACAGACACTGTAGGTTGATGGGGGGAACCTACAGACACTGTTGCTGGGAAATGTACAGTGGTGGAGGGATGGGTGTTGGAATACGGTGTGACTGAAATTTGATCATAACAGCTTTGTAATGGTCTATCTCACAGTGATTCAATTAAAAAAGTTAAAAGAAAAAGAAAGGATCATAGATAAACTCAAGCATGAAGTTTTACAGACTATTAACAAATAAACAGTGATAAAGTTCTGCTACTTTTACTTACTGAGCATTAAAAGAGAAGTCCCTCTCCTTAAGTTATTCCTAGATTGTAAAAGTCACACAGTGGTTTCTGCAGGTGCTTATATCCCACAAACCCATTTTACGATCACTAGGAGCTCTGGAGAATTAACGTGATCAATATATCCTGTCTACAGCTCTCTATTGAGTAATCAGGTGTGATTAGGACACATGGTGAGTCAAACTAAAATAACCAAACTTTAATTCACTTAGTCTGACACTGTAAGCAAGAGGCCCGAAGAAAAACTGATTTCACTATGTAATAAGGATTTCATTACTCTTCACCCTTGTCCTCCCACAGGGGTGGATTCAGCATTGACGCTAGGAATCATCTTATTCCAAGGAGCCCCAGCCAAAAGGCAACTGCCCATTGTGAATCCATGGGCTAAGGGAAAGGAAATGAAGAAATTCTAGGAGTAGAAAAGAACTGAGTCAAAGTGGAGATGCTTTGTGTGGCCACGAAAGACCCTCTTGTAGGACCAGTATACTTCCCTGCTCTCATCACCTGCTTCACATTTCATGCTCTAATAAAGACTGGTCAGTCTCTCCAACTCTTTTTTTTTCTTTTTTTGTTCTTAAACCAAACCCAGCAGTGCTCAGAGCTTATTCCTGGCTCTATACTCAGGGACCACTCCTAGTGGGCTCTGGGTACCCTATTGGGTATCAGGGGTCTAAGCCAGGTCATCCTGGTGCAAGGCAAACACTTTACCCACTGTACTATTGCTCTGGTCTCCATCTCTCAACTCTTCTGATCACTATGCCTTTCTCACATTCTTCCATTATGTTCCCTATATTCTCTTTTTTCGCTAAGCAAACCCCAATACTACTTCTGTCAAAAAGCCTTCAGAAACCAACAGCCTCCCTTAGCCTATAGATAAGTAACTATTCCCAATCTATAAATCTCTAACACCTATGCAAACAAATTTCTATTTACTTACTATATATTTGTTCATAAATCTGAATCTTCAACAAATGCTAAATTCCTGGACAACAGAAGCCCCATTCTATTCTTTTTTACATCCCCTGCACCTAACAAGTTTCCTTAGACAGCAGGAACATGAATGAATAATTTGTCCAAGGAATACTATATAATATTCTATAAATCAACTTTAGTGGAACACTAGGGAGAGGGCATCATCACAGCAGCAATAAAGTGAAACAAGTCATATAGCCCAGCCAGCTCAGAGAATATGGTCCCCAGTACTGATACCCTTTCCATATTTAAGGCCCAATTGTTTCAAATCCACTTGTCATAAACTGTCCCACATGGGCTTGCTAACTAAAATTGGGGTTGGGGGGGGTCCCATTCTCATTCTTCAAAGAATATTCTTTCTCTGTCTCCTGAATCTCATTTCTGAGTCAAAGACAGTCATCAGTTATGTACCGTAATAGCCAAAAAACAAGGCCTCTGAAAATAAATACCAGACTTATTACTTGGGGTTGATACTCCTTTCTAAGATTTTTGTGGGAACCCACCCTCCAGATATCTAAGCGACTTCTCATCCCAAAATTGGGTTCTCAGTCTACAGGTATTAAGGCCTAGGGTTTCTAGAGATTCCTAGTGACCTGTGTTAACGTACTATTTATAGTGAAACATTTAAAAGCATCAATTAACCAAGTGATAAGCATAACTTTTTCCTACAAATTTTAAATTGCCAGTTATAGGATAACATTGGTTTTCCTGTTATTCCTTTCTGTCTTGCCACAGGGAGCTTAGATTTATTGGGTTACTCCCATCACAGTGCTCCCATTCCTGTGTTTATTTGTAATCTCTTTCTTTGTACTCTGTTAACTTGAAAATAATACTGTTCCCTTCTCCTTAAGTCCTTTGCATAGTTAATTGAGAGCAATGTCCTTTTTGTATAGACACAGAAAGACAGTCAATGGTATGCTTCTGTAACTTGGGAGTTAATTAACTCCAAATGATAATCACTCCTGGACATTTGTTCTTTTGACATAAGATTCAGATACCCTTATTTCCTAGCACCCCAAAAGCAGGGTTCTGACGAGGGACTGGATGGACCAGGACAAGCAGTGAGCTACTCTGGCATCGAAATGGGCCAGACTTAACTGTAAGTTAACTGTCACTGTCCTCCCGTTGTTCATCAATTTGCTCTAGCGGGCCCAGTAACGTCTCCATTGTGACACTTGTTACTGTGTTTGGTATATCGAATACGTTGCGGGAAGCTTCCCAGGCTTTGCCGTGAGGGCGAGATACTCTCGGTAGCTTGCCGGGCTCTCCGAGAGGGGTGGAGGAATCAAACTCAGGTCAGCCATATTACCTGCTTGCAAGGCAAACACCCTACCCACTGTGCTATAGCTCCAGACCATAAGTTAACTATACTTAACTATACTTAACTATAAGTTAGGAGCATGGTCATGGACAAATTCTGTCATGATCCAAAAAGTAACATCTAGATTTGGACCCTGCTAGGGCTAGGAAAGATTAATTTGGCCTGAGCACTGTAGTCTGAGATCTATAGCAAGCTGTCCCCAGGAGAGCCTCCCTACAAACTCAATGTATCCCTTAGTGTGTCCATATAAAATAACTAATATTTAGAAGTTAAGATGTTAATTAAAATGTTAATTGAGTTATTGTACTAAGGAGAGGAGAAACATCCCTAGGTGGTATTTCCAGCCTTGAGATTGATGGGCAATAAGAAAGGGCTTTTGATATGTTGACTGTGCTACTGGATGGGGTGTGGTGTCTATTCCCAGGGAGATAGAGAGAGACTAGAGAGAGACCAGGGCAGCAAGATGGAGTTCAGAGAGACAAGCAAGGGGGACAGAGGGAGAAGAATGTAGGGGAAGAATGCATAGAGCAGGCACATAGAGAGACCAGAGGTGCAGCTGCAAGATGGAGCATGGGGGACTGGAGGAGACGGGAATGAGGGACAGAATGAGACTAGAATGGGGAGCCTGGGGAGACTGGAACAGGCATATGGGGAGAATGGAATAAATGGCAACTGATCATCAACCAGCTTGGCCCTAGTTTCCTCCTTTGTCCAACCATGGCATAAGCCGTCCAGGGTGGAGGAGCTGCCCGAGTCCACCAAACACAGGCAGCGAGAAGGAGAGCAGAGGGGAATCTCCGTACCTACCAGGAGATCACACAGCCAGTAATTTAACTTTAACCCAATTTTTGTGGGAATCAACTGGCAGATCAGAAGGAAGGAGAGAGCTAAGTAAAACACAAAGATAGTCTACATCAGCCAAGACCTCAATGGGCATTCAACTATGACATTAAATTGTAAAATTTCACATAAATTCATGTCTTTAAATAGCTGTAGTTTCTATACAGGCCACCAAAGAGACTACTAGACTTCAGGAATATATGACAGAAATGGAGCCCAGGTAGCTTGAAATCCCAGACCTGAGATTTCAAGACAAGGCAGTCAAATTTAGATTAATCTTCCCTCTCTACTCAGGTTTGTCCTAGAACTACTTTCATAATTTTTATACCAAGCAAACCAAAGCTAGAGCTGGCGTAGGGGGAGAGGGAGAAAGATAGAAAATCTCAATAAGAAGAATGTCAGACACTAAAATTTTCAGTGAGAGGGGTTGGAGAGATTCCCACTGATCCTGGTTCAAATCTCCAGCACCACACATGGTCCCCTGAGCATCGCCAGAGGTAACTCCTGAGCACAGAGTCAAGAATAGCCCTGGAGAAGATAAAGTAACAAAATAGAAGACTAACACCCAAGAATAGCCGAGATAAGTACCAGGAGGATTAGATGTGTGATGAGAGTAGACTATAGACCGAACATGACTGCCACTCAATGTCTCTTTTGCAAACCACAGCACTCAAAAAGAGAGAGATAATAGGGAATCCCTGCCACAGAGGTAGGGTGGGATGGGGGGATGGGGGGTGGAAAGGATACCGGGAATGTCCTGCCACAGAGGTAGGGTGAGATGGGGGGATCGGGGGTGGAAAGGATACTGGGACTGGTGGTGGTGGAGAATGGGCACTGGTGGAGGGATGGGTATTCAATCATTGTATAACTGAAACCCAAGCACAAAAATTTGTAAGTCTACAACTGTACCTCATGGTGTTTCACTAATAAAAATTTAAGGAAAAAAAATAGCCCCTGAGCATCACTGGGTTGTGGGCCCAAAAAGCCAGGACTTCTTACCTGATAAAGCTTTTACTCCACATGTATAATCAGAGCAAATGGTCCTGTTTTAAACCCTCTGTATGGAAGATAAGCCAACAAGCTGTATACAATTAATCCCTGCCAATATGCTAAAACCCTATTCATTTTATACATATTTGCCCAAGATAAAATAGGTAACAAGTAAATAAAAAAAATGGGTACCCTCTATACTTACAAGAGAACATGAGCAATGATTGCATTCACATCAAACAAGGTATCTGTAGGGAATTCTCTGAGTAGTATGTTACCCCTGTAAAAGAAATGTAAAGTGTAACTGAACTATTTCCTTGGAATTCAATTTACTTATGTCTAATCCACTTAACTATTATCTCAGGCAATAATTAAGAGTACTGGCCACAATACAAACTCAAATATTTATTAAGCACACACTTAACAAATGTGTTAACCTTAAAAAATCAAGGCCCGGGACCCTCTCCTTCTGCCTTGCCCTTTATTCCTCCCTCCTCCTCCCTGTGAACAAAAAGTATTAGAGAAATAGTAGTGTTCTTAGTTTTAGGTGCCTGACATATCTTAGCAAAATGTTTTAAGTGCTTACTTACAAGATGTTTATAATAGAAGATTGTGTAAGATGTTCACAAAGCAATCCTGCAAGGGGGTGCTGTTCTCATTTTTAGATACAAAAGCAAAGATTCAAGTAACAAATACTCTTGGGACTTTATGCTAAGTTTCATATGACCCCATAGCATACAAATTTACTCTGGTTTGGTGATATTTTATATAACTGAATATTCTATTGGAACAGCTGTATGGCTCTCACTCTCAAAAAAGTAGTTTACCTGAATAAATATGCTTTCATCAAATCATTTTCTTTTCCACAATATCTTGATGTTTCTTCTTTGGCACAATTAACCTTTAAAAGATTAAGTTTAAGTTTAAGCTTTATGTATATAGCAATGGAAACCAAGAAAGCAAAAAGATAAGGGTTAAAAGAATGGCATAACAGGATAGGTCAAGAATTGCTGGAACCTGAATTAGTGGAGGGAAAAAAAGAAATGGCTTCCTGCTTTATGTAAAACTAGGAAGAAGACCGAGCATGAATATGTAGCCTGTGATAGATACAAAAGGACAGAAATCTTAAAAATGAGATTTTTAGATGGGGCAAATGTAACAAAACTTAAGGCTGCAAAAAGTGTAGTTAGTTTTGGAAGAATAGTTAATTTGGGGTGTAATAAGTAGCTGGAAGAAGAGTAGTTAATTTTGGGTGATTTTGTAAATTTTTAAAGACAAACATTTTTATTGTTGTTCAATTTAATTTTAATAGAGTTTGAGGAAGCAGACTGATAATTGGGGAAGCTACATTTGACTTTAAAACACTGAAAAGGAGAAATGATACTCAGAAAAAATGTCAAATAGAAAATGAGAAATAAAAGTCAAAGTATAACCATAACCAAAAGTAGTGAATTTTAGTGAATGTAACTTTTTAAAAAAATTATTTTAAGTCAGAGCATAATGAAACTGGCATTATCACAACAGTCTTATCCATTTATCCATTCAATATAAATTTGAACACCTAACATATGTTAGTTACTGCTCCAGCCAGTAGGAATATAGTTCTGTTGTGAATAAATACAGTTCTGCTGCAAGTATTTACCATTAAAACTTAAATCTAAAAGTTGAAGCAATTTTTTAAAATGAATCAGTCTAATACAATAATAAATGTACATTGTAAAGTACCTAAAAAAGTAGTAAGGCTCTAGTATATGACAGGACATTTTAGAAAAGTAATCACAAAAAACTTCTCAGAGGAGGTGACATTTGCTCCAAAAACTGAAGTAATGAAACAATGCATACAAATTCTTAAATGTATAGAAATGATATGTTCCAAGCACAGGAGGAAATATATGCAATGATCTTGAGAAATAACAGGTAGCAGGTTGAGATGACAGGAAAATTACCAACACATGTCTGGGACAATAAAGGCAAGTAGATGAACGGAAAATGAGATAAGACAGAAACTAACATCCAGAGGAGTAGGGAACTTCCATTTTATCCTAATTGTACCAGGAAGTGTTTCTGAGAGGCCAGCAATGTGATCCAACACATCTGTCTTTCATGTGGAGAAGTGCTCAGTGAGATGAGAGAAAGGAGAAAGACCAATCATTGAAGGCTATTGTGGTTTTCTAGATGAGAAGTGATACTGTTTGGACAAGGGAAGTAAAAGGGAAGGTACAGGAAGTTGTAGAGTTGGAAAGTATTGATGGTAGAACCTAAAGGACTTGCTGACAGATGGGTTTATAGAAAAACAATCACAGATGATCCTAAAGGTTTTCTGTTATCACTGCTGTAGTTTTAAAACATACGTGAGATACCAAAATTAGACACACTTTGTTTTGGTTATCATTTGCATCATTACAAATACCTTTGAGTACTTTGAATATTTCTAAAATCTTTTTTCGAAAGACTTATTTCTAAAGAGCACATCAGAGGATTTTGCTACCCAAACTGAAAATCTTTGTCTTTACTGAATCCTTTATCTCAGATGTACTTTAATATGTTTATTTGTGATTTTGGTTTTTGCTCACCTCTGCCTTCTGATATTTTAACTGTTGAAGATTATCACAAAAATACTCTTTTTTGTGGTTGTTCCCAGATATTATATGAACTTCCACCCTGATGAGCAATATGTTTTCTTTCCTTTAAACCTCATTTTATTTCACATTTTATTTCTCTTATTATCATAGGTTCTGATAGTTATTAAATTTGTGAATAAAACAAACTGATCCAAAAATGAGGGAAAAGGTAGTAAAGAAACTGCTCCCCCCAAAATAATTAGAATCAATGATTATCAGAGAAACACATTAAAAAATGGATATCACCTTTTGGCATACATCAATGAGAATGGTGTATTCCAAAAAAGGTCAGAAAAATAGGCACTGGGTTAGAAATGATAATATAGTGGGCAGGGCACTTACCTTGCACATGGCCAGCCTGGGTTTAATCTCTGGTAAATGTATGTCCCCCAAGACTCCACCAGGAGTGATCCCTGAGTGCAAAGCCAGGAGTAAGCCCTGAGCACCACTGGGTGTGACCCCCATACCCCAAAAAAGAAACAACAGGTACAAGTGGAAATGTGGGGGGAGGGGTGAAGGAACTCTCATTAGCTATTGATGTAAAGGTAAACCAATTCAACCTCTGTGCAGAACAATAAGGATATTTCTCAAAAAAATTAAAAATTGAACTACCATGTGATCCAATAATTGCATTCCTCGGTATCTAGCCCAAGAACACAAAAAACTAATTTAAAAAGATATCTGTGCAACTATGTTCACTGCAGTGGTATTTACAATAGTCAAGATATGGAAAAATTATGACTAAAATATTGCAAACCATGATGCCTCAACGAAAAAAAATACAGAAAAAAACAAAGTACCCAAAAATGTATCTTTTTAATCTTGTATATATACAAAAAGAAATACTATACTACTCTTTATGCTATCACTCCAGCTGGAGAAATAGCACAGTGGGAAGGGCATTTGCCTTGCACGCAGCCGACCTGGGTTTGATTCCTCCATCCCTCTCAGAGAGCCTGGCAAGCTACCAAGAGTATCCCACCCTCACAGCAGAGCCTGGCAAACTCCCCATGGCTTATTCGATGTCCCAAAAACAGTAACAACAAGTCTTACAATGGAGACGTTACTGGTGCCCGCTCGAGCAAATCAATAAATACCACGACCACAGTGCTACAGTGCTACTCAGCTATGAGGGAAAAAAATGAAATTTTCTTTATGACAACTTAAGTGGAACTGTAGAAGGTCATTCTGAGCGAACAAAGTCAGAAGGAGAAAGACAAATATCATTTATCTCAATCATATATGGGGCATAGAAAATCAAATCACAGGAACAGATAAAAACAAATAAAATCAAATGCATGATTCAGAGGAGTGGTTACCAGACAGGGAGAAAGGATAAGTAGAAACAGTGGTCTAATGGACTGGCAGAGGGACAATGGTACTCTGGTGATAGCTTGAGTATGAGAACATACGTTTTGAAGACAATGAAATTATACTTTAAAACATATAAAACCTATCACTAACAGTATTGTAAATTATAGTGCCTCAATAAAAACTGAAAAAAAAACTTCATACTGTGTGAACTAATATTTCTGTTAAAAAAAATAAATGAATACAGGGTCTGGAGATACAAGACAGGAGTTAAGGTAAAAGCCTTGAATAGAGCCAACTCCAGTTCAATCTCTGGCACCACATAATCTCCAGAGTACCTCTAGGTTCATCCATAGAGGCCCGTAAGCACCACCAGGGTGGCCAAGGTATATACTTAGTGTAGGATAACAAATTGGTTTATCCTTCCTCTCTTGCCACAGGGAACTCAGGTTTATTACAGTGCTCCCGAGGCACTGCCATTCCATTGTGTTCATCTGTAAACTCTTCCCTATGCTCTTCTCCCCAACCAGTTAATCAGCTTTTTCCCCTAATCAGACTCTGTTAACTTGTAAGGTCAGATTCCTCAGAAATCTATGATTTTTATATGTATGAGTGAAATACTGTCTTTCTCCTCTCCTTCTGTCTTTTGAATAGTTTACTTTAAAGCAAAGTCCTTTTTGTATAGATACAGGAAGAGAGTTAATATTATGCTTTTGTAACTTGGGATTTAATTTGCTTCGAATATTATTCACTTCAGGGCATCTGCTTTCTCGACTTAAGCCTCAGTTGCCCTTAGTTCCTAGGACCCCAGAAGCAGGGTCACGACAAGCGACTGAATGGACTCAGGGCAAGCTGTGAGCTACCCTGGCATCGAAATGGGCCAGGCCAAAGTGCCATGATTCTGAACTATAAGTTAAGAGCTTGATCATGGACAAATGCTGTCATGATCCAAAAATAACGACAAGACTAGGACTCTGCTAGGGATAGGAAAGATTAATCTGGCCTGAGCACTGTAGTCTGAGATTGAGATGGCCCTAGGAGAGCAATTCTATAACCTTAATGTATCTCTTACTGTGTTCATGCAAAATGATTAATATTATGAATGCTTATATGTTTGTTGGACAAGGAGAGGAGAAACACACCCATAGGATTCCGCTCTAGGATGGGTCATCCTGCTGAATGAGAATCTGTCGTAGAAGTGGCTTTCCCAAGGGAAAGAACTTTACCCCTATTGATTGTGACCACACCTATGTGCAATTGATACCTCAACCCATCATGCTGGGGGATATAACTAGACTATAAGAGTGGGCTGGGGGAAGCAGAGGAGAGAGACAGGAGTGAATGGAGAGGAGATTGGAATAAACTGCAACTAAAACCAACCAGCCTGGACCTCCTTTTCTTCCTTTGCCTGCCCATTGTCATCGACCTTCCCTGGGGTGGGGAAACGGCTTGAAATTACTGAATGTGGGCAGGAGAGATAGACCCCTGCTATCTTTTGTGTTTACACAACTTAGTACCTCAGGGCCCAAATAGTACTGCATCCTTCAACCTTTACATTGAACGGCAGGCTCAATTGCCAAGACTCTATCTAGCTCCCAGACCCTCTTAACACTACTTGGGAGTGCTCTCTCCACCCATCAACCAAAGAAAAATAACATAATAAAGAGAGATTTTAAAAATGTCACCAAAAGCCTATGTAGAATTAAGCCTGAAAAATACAATTATTTTCTAAGTTAATGAGTTACAACTAGATTTCTTTTCTCTGTATGAACTTATACAATAATTTGGAACTATCTTCCTATGCTCTGTTTAATTTTATAAAACAAAAAAAATGCAATTTACAATTTGCATTGAAAAAGTTGTATAACTGTATAAGTATTTTTAGATAGTCTTAACTATTTATAGTTGTAAAATATTAGTGACTAGAAATATATTAGCATAAATATCTACCTTTGAAACTGAAATGCCATAGTCTTGAAGAGGTATAACAGCCTCATTTAGTTCTTCAAGAAATAGAGAGGTACCTGGAGAATCTAAAACAAAAAGTATTCTATTAATTTTTATGACTTTTCCCTTTGTAAAGATAAACTTTTATCATTAAAGCCCACAGCTGCAAAGTAAAGAAGATATTAGTTTTCCCAATTAGAATGCAAGAACAAATAATCAAGTAACTAAACACACTTTGTGCCTTTATTTTCTACTACCTTGCAATTCTTATTTCTGTTTTTATCATGACATATTTTAAGCTTATAAGTAATCTTAAAAACATTCCTAGACCAGTACAAGGTAAATATTAAATTTAAACGTCACATTTGGTATCATTATTCCAAATTTAATGCTACACACTAATAAACATATAAATATAAAAAGCCTTTCAAAATTATCTTAAAATACCACAACAGAGCTAACAGTTATATGGATTCACTCCATTACTAATTACAAGAATAGTATTTTAAGGCATAAAGACTTAGATGAAGGGCAGAGTGATAGTACAGCAGGCAAGGAACTCGGGTTCAATTCCAGCATCCCCTATAGTTTTCCAACTACTGCCAGGAGTGATTCCCAAGTGCAGAGCTAGGAGTAACCCCTAAACATTTTTGAGAATGGCCCAAAAACAAAAACAAAACAAAAACTTGAATGAGATCATCATAACTATTAGTTGTATTCAATATTCATTTCAAGTACCACTAAAGCAGATTATTAAACTAAAATTCAATATACTTAATGTACACTAAAGCAGATTATTAAGCTAAGCTATTATTTGATAATACTTAAATTTAATAATACTCTAAAATATTCACATGCTACAAATATCAAACAGTGTATCAAAAATAACTAGATAAAATTATGTGTTATCATAGTAACAACTAATTCTAATATAGTAATTATTATGGACTAGGCATAGTAGTAAAATCTTTTAAGAATCATGACAATTTAAAAAGAAAGTACAACTTCCTCCTTCTGGGTGGCAAAAAGTCTAAATGACTTAAGCAAGGTCACACAGTGAGTCAAATAGCAGACTCTGAATAGAACAGTGGTAGCTTTGCAGCACATATTATTAACAAGAATCTTCCTAAGAAGAAGATTCCAAAGAGCATATTGATTAAACATCAATCGAAACATCATCAAAATCATATTCGAACACAAAAAATACTTACCAGCTTGACAAAAATAAGCTAAGGAGGCTTTTCCCTGTTGTAATGTGCTGAAAAAATCCTTGGGACTCAGTTCTGGTAGAGAGTCTACTGGTGACTTATGCAGAATACATATCACAACAAAAGAGATACCAATTCCAAAAACATTGAAACCAGAAGACATCATCAGCTATAGGTAGATAGGGACAAGAGATTTTGTTTTCTATGTTCACAGCCGTGATCTTTTTTTTTTTTTGTCTATGACAGTATTTGGCATAAGTTCGATGAAGTTTTGCTGAATGAATTTCTTAAATAAATCAAAATCTGAAAAAAAGAATAATATAAGACATTACTTATATAGTATATATAATTTTGCTAAAATTTTAGTGTTTCCTTCTAGTTAAAAATTGGGGAGACGTCAGAGAGGTAGGACAGTGGATAAGGCACTTGCCATGCACGAGGCCATAGGGGTTTGATCCCCAGTTTCACATAAGGTCCCCTGGAGCATCAACAGGAGTGATCCCTGTGCACAGAAAAAGGAGTAAACCTTGAGCATCAATAGCTGTAGCCCAATCCAAAAGAAAAGAAAATAAGAGAAAAATTTGAGAGAAGAGCAATAGTAACTTGATAATATTACTTATATTTGATAAGTAAGGATCACTGTCACTGTCCTCCCATTGTTCATGGATTTATTGATTTGCTCAAGCAGGCCCAGTAACGTCTCCATTGTGACAACTATTACTGTGTTTGGCATATCGAATATGTCACTGGTAGTTTGCCAGGCTTTGCCCTGCTGGCGAGATACTCTCAGTAGCTTGCGAGGCTCTCCAAGAGGGGCAGAAGAACGTAACACAGGTTGGCCATATTAGCCGCTTGCAAGGCAAATGCCCTACCCACTGTGCTATCACTCCTTAGATAACTAAGGATAGCAAAAGCACTGCACTGCACTGTCCTCCCGCTGTTCATCGATTTGCTCGAGCGGGCCCAGTAACGTGTCCATCATGAGACATTTTACTGTGTTTGGCATATTGAATACATCACGGGTAGCTTGCCAGGCTTTGCTGTGGGGGCGAGATACTCTCGACAGCTTGCCAGACTCTCCAAGAGGAGTGGAGGAATCGATCCCGGCTCGGCCAGGCCAGCTGCGTGCATGGCAAACGCCTTACCACTGTGTATCGCTCCAGCCCAACAAAAGATATCTGAAAAATGTTAATACTGGTCTGGTAAGCTAATTGTCTTTTTTAAAGGTTCTAGTACTAATTCTCAAACATTAGCCAAGTCATTTTTGTTTGGTTTCCGGTCACACCTGGCAGTGCGTGGCAGCCATTCCTGGTCTAATGCTTAGGTTATTCCCAGTAGTGCTCAGGGGACCCAGAAGAGTGGAGCAGAGATCAAACATAGCATAAAGGATTGATTATAGCATAAAAAGCCCATTCCACTAATGTCTCTATGCTACAAAACAAGTTTAAACTGGACAGTTTATCTATGCAGACTGAATTTATAATAATCAAATAGCCATTTAATAGTATTATCAAAGGAATAAGACATCCAAAATACATCTACAAAGTCTACGTTTTTTTAACTTTAAAACTCACGAAGATATCCTTGTAGATTCACAGAGTGTACTTTTCACATGCACAGAGAATAAAATTCATTTGATAGCACAGCGGTAGGGCGTTTGCCCTCCACGCAGTCAACATGGCCGACCCGAGTTCGATTCCTCCGCCCCTCTCGGAGAGCCCGGCAAGCTACCAAGAGTATCTCGCCCGCATGGCAGAGCCTGGCAAGCTCCCCGTGACGTGTTCAATATGCCAAACACAGTAACAACAAATTCTCCAATGGAGACGTTACTGGGCCCGCTCGAGCAAATTGATGATCAACAGGAGGGCCTTTACTTTACTTTACTTGTACTGAAAATTGTTCTCTTCATAAAAAGACATTTAAATTAAAGAGAAGAAACATGCTATGGTTGGGAGAGGGAGAAAAGAATAGCTGTAAGAAAGGAGCAAAAAACAAAGATACAGAAGGTACTTGATTTCCTTTCTTTGATAAGTAGAAATTGAACAGAACTGAAAATTGTCAATACTTCAAAAACCTAAGTATCGAAATAGGGTGATATATGTTTAGGAAGAAATGAGATCTTGTAACCCAAGCACAAAAATGTGTAAGTCTGGAAAAAAAAATAAAATGTTTTTTAGTGGAAAAAAAAAAAGAAATGAGATCTTGTTACTTTGTAGTCCCTTAACATATGTTGAATAGCTGCAGTTCTCTGGTAGGCTTATCCTTGACTTTCTGTGCTACTTCTGGTGAAGTTAGTTATGCCACCATGTGACTTATTCTCAGTAATTAAAAAGGAGCAACTGTGGATACCTCTCTCAGGCAATAGTTTTTAATTTATTTTGGGGCCACCCACAGAGGTACTCAAAGATCATTCTTAGTGGGGCTCAGAAGGGACTGTATGTAGTGAGAGAAATCAAATCTGGGTTGGCAAGGCAAGAACCTTACCTGCTATAAACATCTCTCAGCCAAGGCAACAATTTTAAAAGCCAAAGTGTGTTACGTGTAGCCTTATTTTCTTCTGTCACAACAACTAAAACACTTAACTAGTGGTTATGCATCAGCATAGGTCCCAGAAGGAGCAAAATACAAGAGGATTTGTAGTTAATCAATGAGACTCTAGCAGAAAAAGAACTAAGCTACCTTGGGCATGGGGGATGGCACAGGAGAGCATGTGTTCCATACACAATGCCTCAAGTTAAATACCCAACTTCATGTTTCCACTCCACCTCCCACATTCCAGTTAGGGTGACCTTAGAGACACCCTAGTACTCTTGGTTCAAGAGCATTACATTGTCAGGCCCAAGCACTGACCATCTTGTTCAGCTGGTTAAGTAATACCTGGGTTAGTCACTAGACCAGAGCAGTACTCGGAAGCAATCCCTGGCAAAAATAAAACAAATAAGACACCATGTCTCCAATATTACACCAACCAGGATGATATCTTGCTCTCATAAGAATCCAAACACTGGCTCAGGAGCTGAGCACCAAAGAAACTGTTCTGTGTATAATTAAGAAAAACTTTTTATCAGAGACTGGCATTACACGCATTACACACTTAATCCATGTTAAGAAGTGGTAAAACACTTGTTGAAGCTCACCATGACAATTGGGATGCCTGATGAATTTATAATGAACATGTACCCACGACTGTGTGACTATGAATTTATTTATAGCCCTAGGAAAAAATTATGGAAGTCACAAATGAGTACATCTTGATAGCTGCTACTGATTGTGTTCAACAGAAAAAGATACTCAAAGGAAAGAAAGATCATCAAAACCACCATCCAAACTAGAAGGTACCATGATGAGTGAACTCAGCCAGTTAGAGAGGGATATATACAAAATGATCTCTTTCATATGTACATATAAAGAAATATAGGTAAGGAATAACAAATGGCAAAAATCAACAGAAACTGAGAACTGATTTACAGAACTGAGTTTCCCAAAGGTAGGAAGGATGGGGATTGGAGTACGGGTGAGAAGGAGGGAGAGTGTGAGACAATGGTGGAGGAAAGTAACACTTAGGTGGAGAGTTTGTTAAGAAAATGCTGTACATTGTACACATGAGAGTCTATCATTAACAGTATTGCAAATCATGGTGCTTCAATTGGAAAAAAATGTCCCAGAACTTTACCAAAATAACCCACCTTCCAGAAAACTAGCTGTATAAAACTTAAAACATAAAATCCTTAAGCCTCCTACCCCTCCGTGATCAAGAAGCAAGCTGATATATAACTGCTCAGCCATGGAGAGGCCATAATCTACAAAGGCAACTTCAGATGTGGCCAAGGGTAAGAAAAATGGGCAGAACTCTTGCAGTGCAAAGTCAAGGGACATGGAGAACTACACTAGGACATCACTGTTATCACTGTTATCACTGTCCTCCCATTGTTCATCGATTTGCTCGAGCAGGCCCAGTAACGTCTCCATTGGAGACTTTGTTGTTACTATGTTTGGCATATCGAGTATGTCCCAGGTAGCTTGCCAGGCTCTTCCGTGCGGGAGAGATACTCTCGGTAGCTTGATGGGCTCTCCGAGAGGGGTGGAGGAATCCAACTTGGGTCGGCCATGTTGGCTGTGTGCAAGGCAAACGCCCTACCGCTGTGCTATCGCTCCAGCCCACACTAGGACATAAGCCAGAATATGACCTGTGTGTTAGTGGCTATAATCATTTCTGATATAAACACAGAAATAAAGAATATATATATTTCTATATACATTTCTGTTTATATATATGTGAGAAAGAGAGAGAAACTTTTACAAGGAATTTCATGAAGTACTTCTGTCTGCTAAATCATCATTTTTAAATTAGACTTGTCATTTAACATATTTTCAAATTTTATCTCCTTAAAATTCATTTTAGCATGTTTTACACAATTTTAAATTGAAATAAAAAATAAACTGATTGTTACATAGCAGATAGGTAGAGGAGTACTTGCTGAGAAACCAGAGAAACGAATGAGCATACTGGTAATATCTGCCCAGTTAGATTTCAAAATTTAAGGCCCAGAGCAACAGTACAGCAAGAAGGGTGTTGCCTTGCCTTGCATGATGCAACCCAGGTTCGATCTCCAGCATCCCATATGGTTCCCTGAGCACTGTCAGGAGTGATTCCTAAGTGCAGAGTCAGGAACAACCCCTGAGCATCGCTGGGTGGGTGTGGCCAAAAAAATAAAACCAAAAAGAATTACTAATCCGGAATTTTGTATGTTTTCTCTCCTGCCCTATCCAAATGAGAACATTTAACAGTTCTGTGTCCTGACACTCCCCTGTATATTCAAGAGACATGGAAATATATCATTTACCATGCATGGACTGACAGGAATTTTGGCTACTGGTCATTATTCACAGAACAGGGACTGTGAGCTTCACAGTGACTAGATGGATTGGTGAGGGGGAGGGTTGGGGTACTGTCCTATATATTTACAAAAAAAAATCTGTTGATAAGAAGATGTTTGTTGATGTCCAGATGTTTCAAGCCTATACATGTTACAACTGTAACATTCTATAACTCCCCATTTTCATGAATTAAAATGACCATGACTATTTGTGCAAATGAAAGTACAAAGTAACACATTATAACTTTCTGGAAGCTTTTTCTTCTTTTTTAAAAAATTTTTCCTTAGTGCATTTCAGATTGGATTTTTTTTTCTTTTTGGGTCAGACCCAGTGG